GGGCAGGGCGGGGAAGGGCTGGGGGGTGCCCTGGGCAGGGCGGGGAAGGGCTGGGGGTGCCCTGGGCAGGGCGGGGAAGGGCTGGGGGGTGCCCTGGGCAGGGCGGGGAAGGGCTGGGGGGTGCCCTGGGCAGGGCGGGGAAGGGCTGGGGGTGCCCTGGGCAGGGCGGGGAAGGGCTGGGGGTGCCCTGGGCAGCCCCCTGCTCTCAGTCTCGCTTGTTCGCCCCCTAATGGCTGCACAGCTCTTACCCACTAAGTCCCCGAGTCCCCCTGGTTCTGTTCTGCAGACTAGTCAGAACCTGTTCCAGCCACTGCCCCCCAGGGGAGAGCCAGGCCGGTGAGCCCCTCACCCACTCTGCGGGGCAGGGAGACGAAGGAATCCACCCCCATCTGCGTGGCCAGCAAGGCTGATGTGGGAACCCGTGCCCAGGCAGAGGCCCCGACGCCCCGACGGGGAAGGGAGGCCCGGGGGCCGCCGAGGGCTGGCAGCAGAGCTGGGCACGCGTACCTGTCGGCCAGCTCCTGGGCGATGAGGAGGTGGCGCAGGTGGTACTCGGCGGCTCGCTCGTGGTCCTGCAGCAGCGTGTAGGTGTTGCCCAGGCTGTAGCAGGCCTGAGCCTCCACGGCCTGGTCTTTGAGCTGCCGGGATAGCTGCAGAGTCTTCCTAGGGGGCAGGAGGCGTCACTGTCCCCAGCCCGGCAGGTCAGAGCCGCCACTGCTCTTGCTCCGACCCCAGGGGTACAGGTGGCCGGCTAGGAAGTGTCGCCGAGGCCTCTCCTGTGCCGACAGGGACAGCACCTGCTGCTGGAGGTCCTCACAGGATGCACCTCGGGAACCCAGGCGCCGGCCCGCTGGGTCCAAGTGCCCACAGGCCACAGAGTCCTAGCTCCCGGATCTCAGTCTTCCCACCGACTGCAGGGGTGCTTGCGCCCACTCCCAGGGTTGCGTGAGGAGTTGGGGAAGGCGTCCTCCCTGTCATGTCTGCAGGGGGAGTGGCACAGGGCCACTACTGTCCCTGCCTGGGACGGTGAGGTGGGGGCACCTACTTGTAGTACTCAGCCGCGACGTCAAAGCGCCCCAGGAAAATGTGGGCGTTGCCCAGATTGCTGTACGCTCTTCTCTCCGCTGCCTTGTCACCAAACTCCTTGGCGATGGCCAGGCGCTGAGGGGACAGAGGCCTGAGTGGGGCAGAAGCTACCCTCATAGAAGGTCCCAGCCCTCGGGACTCAGGGTCACACCCACGCTGGCAACCTGATGTCTGTCTGTCCAGGAGGAACCCAGGATGGAATGCAGACCAGGCATTGGGGCCACTGGGGTGTCCCTGCCACCTCATTGCCCTGCCCTCCTGCCAACAGGTGGAACCCACAGGTGGGATCAACAGGTGGGGTGTTCTGCCAGGTGAACCGTGGGGCCCACCCGTTTCTCACCTCCTTGTGGAAGGCTGTGGCCTCGGTGAAGTTGCCCAGCAGATAGTGGGTGTTACCCAGATTGCCATAGGCCCGGCCCTGGGCTGCCCGGTCACCCAGCTCCTTCACGAGGGACAGGTTCATCCTGGGGGCAGGTGTGTCTGAGCCAGGGCCCCGGGACAGGGAAGGACGACCCCACAGGCCGGATGACTTGAACCCACTGCTGGCTCAGGTGACCCCATCAGCACATGCCAGGAGGGGCCAGGAAGAGGTGAGGTCTGTCCACAGCACGTTCCCCACCCCGACCCTGCTCTCCCGCCCCAGACCCGTCCACTGGCCTGGCCTTGAGGACATCATCGGGAGGGCAGAGCAGGGCTGGCTGGGGTGCTTAGGGTCGCTAGCGCCCAGCACCCTGGACAGCCTGCAGCAGGTAGGAGTGCTCTGACCGGACGCCTGGCCCCAGGCCCACGGCCACCGCGGCCCACACTCACTCGTAGAAGTCGGAGGCCTTGTGCAGTGTCTCCCGCACGTCAGGGGGCAGGTGACCGGGGTCCTGGGCAGTGCCCCAGGAAAGCTGCTTGCCCTTGGCGTGGTACACGTTACCGATGTTGTAGAGTGCTCTCGCCTCCCCGACCTGCACTGGTGACACCAGCCACGGTCAGTGGGACATGCCCGCTCGTGTGCTCGCAGGTGTCCCTGTGACCATTCACCTGGCCTGTGTCCAGATGGGACAGAGAGCTAGTGGCCCTGGGAGGTTCCCAGACTGTGAAGGTGGCCCTGGGTCAGCCCTGGAGCAGCAGGCTGGGTCCTCGGGGGACAACCCCGCCCTGTTCCCTGGGTGGGAAGCCACGCTTTATCTTAACTGACTACAGCTAAGGGCCCGCCCAGGGTCAGGCCCGGGAACCCTGCCACGCTGTGACCCTGACGTCACCTCTCTGTGCCTCAGTTTCCTCATCTGTAGAGCAGGACACTCCAGCCAGCCCAATGCTAGGGGCTGGGGCCAAAGCAGCCTCCACTGCTAATATCACTGCCACCCACTCCTGTCCCCCTTTTCTTCTCACTCTGGGTCTCAGGAAGCTCACCAGGGGTGCACCTGGTTTGGGGCTCACAGGAGGAGAGCGTAGCATGGAGACGGGGTCCAGATGGGCACTACTGGGCAACCGCCTCAGCAAGGGGCATTCCTGGGTTCTGTCCTGCTGGGTTCTCCCTCCTAGAGTGCCCATTTTGGGAGGGGTCAGTACCCACCTTGTCTCCCTGCTCCTGGGCAATGTCCAGGTGTCGCTGACAGCAGACGACAGCCTCATCAAAGCGGCCCAGCACCTTGAGTGTGTTGCCCAGGTTCCCGCTGGCCTTGGCCTCGCCCATGCGGTCACCAATGGTCCTGCAGGGCGGGTTGAGGGGCTGCTGAGGGGCTGAGGCCTGGGAGTGAGTGCCAGCCAGAGGCAGCAGCTGGGGGCTCACTGGTCAGCATGGCACTGAGCCCCACAGCCGTGCCCTCCACTGTCTGCTCCGGGCCCCCATGCCATGTGTGGGGTGCTGTGACCCTGGGACCTGGGCCCAGGCACTGGGGGAAGCCTGGCACTGGGCATGGTGGCGAAATCATTAACCCAGTGACCACTTGCAGCAGTTCTGGGCATGGCGCCCATGGCAGGGAGGCAGGTGGGCAGGACTGGTGCCGCCTGTGGGAGTCCAGATGGTGCCCAGTAATGGGGGGGCCCGCAGCAGAGACCTCTGGACAGAGGCTGAAGGTGGTCAGAGCCTTGGCAAGTCTGGGGTCAGAGGTCAGGGTGGGCAAGGCTGGCGAGGGAAGGGGCATGGAGTCTGAAGGGGCCTCCTGGGGCAGGGAGACCCTGGGGACAGGGACACGATGGTGAGGTGGGGCAGAGGTTCTATCTGTGAACAGTCCTCCCTCTCCCACCTTCACACAGACACAAACACGGAGATCGGGTGTCCTTGCACGGACACCATGTCACAGAGACGTACACGCCACACGGGAGATTCACAGAGGGACAGGTGCTGGGGCCCCGTGACCCCAGGCTCAGCTCACGTGAACAGGTGCACTTAACACCTTGTCCCTCACGTCCCCTCGGGCACCAGGCCCCTGGACGCTGCCCCCCAGTGCTGCTCACCTGGCCAGCAGGAGGTCGTGCTTGTGATAGGACAGTGCCTGGGCGTACTCCTTCAGGTAGAAGTAGGCGTTGCCCAGCTGGCTGTAGATGGCACTCAGGGTCTTCAGATCCTCCGTGCCCACCTGCACGGCCGCCTCGAAGAACGCCACCCCGGCCTTGAAGTCGCCAGCCTTGCATAGCCGCTCACCCTCCAGGGCCAGCTCCAGACACGAGGCCTCCATCCTACAGCGAGGGCCATGTCAGCAAAGCCCCCCCCGAAAGACGCGTCCCCGAGCCCTGCATCTGTCCCTGCCCCAGGGAGCTCTCCGCAACCCCATGTCGAATCTCTGAATCAGCACGCAGACAGTCCAGTGAGCTGCCCACCCAGCCCCAAACCCTCACTCAGCAATGTGCTCACTCCCAAACGGCACCCCTAGACCCTAGCTCAATGCTCTGCCCACCCAGAAGTCTCCCCAAGACCCTAGCCGGGCCACCACTGCCACCCCTGAGTTGTGAAGGGCATGTGTGTCACCACATCAGACTTCTATGTGCACTGCTCAGCCCTTGGACTGGCCAAGTGCGTGGAACAGAGCTGGCCACCATGTCCTGCCTTCTTGTTAGCTCAGCCATCAGGGCAGAGGGGCCACCCTGGACACACATATTCTTCCCAAGCAGCCACTACACCCCTGGTCAGCCCTCCAGTCCCACTGAGGCTGGGCAGGGCCAGCAAGCAGGCTGAGGCCGCACCCGGGACCTGGGCCCACTGCGCCTGGCCCTGTGTGGCCTGATGGACAGCTCCTGGCAGGGCCCACTTCAGGGTCCTGTGGTCTCTGGGACCCTTGCAGAAGCTGAACCCGGACAGAGGACCACGGGGTCCTGTGTCTCCACGCCCTGAGGGAGCCTCGGAGCTGGGGTCAATCAGCCCCACCTTGAGGCATCCCTCACACGTCCCTCCTCCCTGGTGGAGGACAGAGGACAGGGACAGGGGACACAATCATGGTGCAGCAGGTCAGCCCTGGACCCTGAAGGGCACCCCAAAGATGGGAGGACTTGGGCAAACCAGGCTGCCTTGAGGGTCTCAGGGGCCAAGAGGCACACTGTGGAGGGGTGTGCAGCTACGGGGATGCCACAATGGACAGGCCACATGGTCACTCTGATTTCATCTTCACCCCGGGCACCTGCACTGAGTGACCGTGGCCAGGGAAGTCCTCTACGTGTTGGCATGGCTCTGAGGGGCTCGCTGTTCAGAACCCTTTCTTCTAAGGTGCCAAGGGCAGTCTTGACCCTCCAACCTTGCGGTCTGCAGTTCCCATTTGCAGTCACCACAGACCCCTCAAACTCAGGTGTCATTAAACGTCCACCTGGACAGACAGCCCCTCCTACACTGCTGGGCTCAGTGCACTGACCACTGAGGGAGACCACGAAGCCCCGTAGGTGCTCCCAGCGTCCCCATGCCTGCCTTCTCAGCCTCCCCTCACAGAGGGGCCAGTGGCTGAGCGGGGCCACCTTGGGGATGCTGGCAGGGTCCACAGGGGCTGAGGCTTTTGGTTAGGGTGGCCCCTTCCCCATACCTGCTCCTCCAGCCTCCCGTGACCCCTACATAGGGAATCTGACCACAGTGCTCACTCTCTCCACCCCAGCACCCCACTGGCGGTGCTCCTTGGAGCCCCCAAATTTTCCCAGTGCCTAGATCCCTGCTCCACCGACAGGACTTCAGCGCCCCAGGCTCTCCATGCCGGGGGAGTAGAGCTGCGCACAGGCCAGGATTGGGGGAGAATCCTGGATCAGAGTAGCCTCCACACTGGTCAGACTCTCTGAAAAGGTCACTCGCTCACGGCTGGGAGAGCCCCCAACTTGTCCAAGTTCCCCTTTAGAAAAACAAAAACCAAACAAAACAACATCCAAGAACCTAAGCTACCAGCATCCACCCGGTTCCTACTCAGCCTCCAAGACTTTAAATCTTTACAAGACGAAACTGGCCAGCTTTCCCCTGCAGAGGGGTTTGAACTGCTGACCCGACAGGTCGCAGCTCGGTGTGCTATGCACTGCAGCGTTAGGCCTCTCAGTGGCAAGAGGGGGCTGAAGTGCCAGCCGGGGGCCAGCACCATGGCTGTGGCCAGTCTCCGTGTCCTGAGGGCTCCACTGTAGGACTGTTAGGACGAGCCGCACGGCAGACCCTCAAGGGCACCGTAGGCTCTCTCTCTGCAGGCAGGTGGCTCCCAGACAGCAGTGGGTGCTCATGCCGCCTGTGTGGCCCCGTGCAACCTCCGTCAACACTCGATAGTCTTGGGGTGCAAGCAGAGCTCTGAGATGTGGGCAAACAGCCCAGTGTGGAGCTGTTTGGGATGTTTGGTGGATCCTCATAATCTTTGGGGGTGAGGAGGGGCAGCCTCCTCCAAAGACCAGCAGAGCTACACTGTCCCTTCAGCCAGGAGTCCTGGGGGCCCCCTGTGGCAGACAGCCCGGCTGTTGTGGGCCAGCCTCAGGCTTCTCCGCAGCCACTTCCCTCCCAAGAACCCCAGGCAGGGCCATCCCTGCCACGTCTACAATCACCATGGCAACCCTGGGCTGCACCAGCCTCTTAATGACGCTTCTAGTTCTTGGCCAGCGGCGGCCGCAAGAGGAATCCAGTCTCGTTGCTGAGACCTTTCTGGGGTGATTGTGCCAGAGAGGACGGCGAGCTGAGGAGTGGCCCCAAGAACAGCACGACCCACCCCCTGCCCAACCTCTCGAGGCCCATCGCTCTCACTGCTCACGGATCTAACAGGACAGCCCTGGCAACAAGGGACGCCCCCTGGGAGGCTCTGTCCTTCAAGCACCCAGGTGTCAGCAAGGAGCTGGGCCCCCGGGGCTTCAAGGGCTGGGTCTCCAGGGGATTGTCGGGCTTTCTGCCGAGGCATCGCTGGGGGGGCTCGAAACACCCACCTTAGCAGCAGGCAGATGAGCACAAGGACCGCTCATCACCTAAGAGCCACCTCCGGTCCTGCCTGTGGCCTTGCTGCCTGGGCCCCACTCCTCCCGCCTCATGCCCACACCTGTGCCTGCCTGCCCCCGACTGTCACTGTGGTGAGCCCACACCTGCCCCCCTCGTTCACCCACACCTGTGTCTGTCCCCCCACTGCCTGCCGTGAGCCCACCTGCTGCGCTGCAGGTTCCGCATCTTCTGCACGTACAGCCACAGCTCCAGGCCCACGGGCAGCAGCAGTGGGCGGGGGCGCGGGGCGCCATACACCACCTTGCACACGGCCTTCTCCGCTGGGCTCAGGGCCGCGGGCTGGGCCTCCACGGGGGGCATCAACATCCGCGTCACGCCTCGGGACCTCCCCTGGCCAGCTGGAGCCACTTCACCCCTGCCACGAACCCTGCAGGCCGAGCTGGCCCCCCTCCCCTCCAGGGTGGTCCGTCCACAGCTCAGTGGCCTCAGCTTAAGGAGACCCTGGGCCTCCATCAGGTCCTTGAGCAGGATGGGGACCCAGGGATCAGGGGCAGCTCAGTCCGGCTCCACACGTCAGAGGCAGGTAATCCCTCTGGGGGGCGGGGCAGGAGCCTGGGACCGGAGCCAGGGCAGCGGGGCCGGGTCAGCATTTGTGTGTGTGGACAGCACTGGGCCTGAGGGGGGCTGCCCACCCTCCACCCCTCCGCCTATGTGTGGAGGACCCCCTGTGATACTCTGCCAGGGCCACAGAACACCTGGTCCCAGGCTATGACATCTGAGGGAGAGCAGGAACTGGGGACATCTGGAGAGGGTGGGGTGCAGGCAGCACCCCACCTCCAGGGATACAGGACCCTCAGTGTTGGCTCGGGTTGCCCTGGACTGTGGAGGCTGCTTATTCTGAGAGGTCTTGTGCTGTAGGGTTAGAGGGTCTGGGTCCCAGGCCACCAACCAGACCTCGGCTGTCCAGGGGCACCCGGCCCTTTTCAAGCCCCTTTGGCCCAGGACAGAGCAGAGGGTCCAGCCAGTGGGTAGGGCTGGCTCAGGACCACGTCCCGGCCTGAAAAATCACATGGCAGCTACCTGGACAGAGCAGTCACCAGAGAGTCACCCACCTGTGCCATGCTCACTGCGGAGCCCTTGGTGCTGGGGACGCCTGAAGCCATGCCCAGCTCCACGTGTAGACGGGGAATGCCCAGGAACCTTCTGGGGCAGAATGAGCTCTGGCTCCAGCAGCCGTCTCCTGCCAGGCCTGCCAGCCATACTCTCTCCCCTCAGAGGTGCCCAGCCCCCTCTTAAGGCATGGGGTCCAGGCTCCCTGGGGCCATGGCCTTGGCTTCCCTTCAACCACACCAACCCCAAACCTGAAAGCACCCTCGTCCTACTCAGCCTGTTCTTTGCAATGAGATGAATAAGGACGTCCAATCCCGTTGTCCACCTTCCCCGCATAGAGCTCTGCCACTGCCCAGGTGTTCAAAGCGCCTGTGGTGATGGTGCCCCAGGGACAGGCCTGGCTCAAGCCCATGTGCCCAGCTCTCTGTCCTCCATCTATGCCCATCTGCATCACTCTTCAACTCCAGGACCCTTTGGCCTTTCCTCCAAGAAGCACCAGCTCCCTCCTCCACAGGTAGCCACAGTGCCCACCAAGCCAGACACCACCCATCAAGCCTCACCGTCAATGAAGCCCTGAGCCAGCCTGCCGAGGTGACCATCTCACTCACCTTGTGGCCACCTCACCTGCCACCTTTTGCCGTGCTGGGTCCTTCACCTGGCCTGGTACAGAGACAGTGTCTACTGGGTGGTCAGTACCAGTAACCCTGGACCCCACCACACAGCTGCCTCCTGACCACACTGCAACGACCTCCAGATTCCAGGCTGCCCTCTGCGACCAGGGCTTTCCCCGGCCCATGTCCCTAGCCCACTTCCCACCTCTGCAGGGCATTCACCACGCCCTGGCCATTTGCCTCCACTGGCTCTTTGCCTCACAGCACTGTCCGCCCCGCCCCCGCCCCCTTTGTTCAAGACAACTTTCCACGTTTGCGTCCAGGGGACAGAGGGTGTGTCAGGTGAGTGGGGCTCCCCAGGGCCTATTCACTCCAACCACCCGTGCCTGGGTCAGGCCAGGCCCCTGGCATTCCCACAGCCAGGCCAAGGTCCCAAGTCTGCAGACGCAGAGCCTGAAGGTGGGGACAGGGACACAGGACATGGTCAGCAGCATGAGCACATGCCGAGGGGCCACTGGGGATGTCCTGCCGCTGTCAGGTGCTGCCTCTTGGGGCACGTCTCCCACATGGATCATCCCCGAACTGGATTGACAAATGCCAGGTGTACCCTTGTGCACACGCACCCTCACCCCCTCCCTCTGCACACACACGCACACACACACACACACACACACACTCTCACGTTCACGCATACGTGGCCAGCGTCCCACACGCACAAGCATCTGCATCCACACACACTGCACCCATGCACCTTTGTATGCACACGTGAACCCTCCGCCCAGGCTGCCTCTGGCTCTGACCACCAATCAGACACCGCCTGGGCCTGTGGAGCAGACCCTTGGACAGGTCAGCAATGCGGCCAGCACATCTGAGTACAAATGCCCCCAATATGGGGGCTGGACACGGAGACCACACAGTGGGTTGTCCCTGGCCACTGGCACTCCTGGGGGTCCCTGTGCTCACCTGGGCTTCCCCAGGCCTCAAACTGCCATCTGGCCCATGAAGGCCCAGGGGCGGCTTGCCCTGGTCAGGCTGGGCCCCCTCAGGGTCAAGTGGCTGGGCACACCACCTGGGAAGCGTCAGGTCTGGAGGATGCCCGCAGGGAGCTAGGACTAAGGTGGCCCAAACCAGAGACTCGACCTGTCACGGAGTGGCTGCCAACCTGCAGCTCCCGCCACTCCTTGTGGCCACACTGGGGCAGAGAGCAGCCCCTCCTCTGGGGCCCAACAGGAGGCTGCCCATTGGAGGCCAAGGGCATCACTCCACGAGGACATGCCCCAGGGAGAAACCCATGCCCCAGGGAGAAGCCCTCAGGCGTCGCAGTTGTGAGGCATAGAAGTCACCTGTGCACCTGCTGGAGGAGGAGCAGCTGGCGGGCACACCCCACCTCGAGGCTGCGGGGCCAGGCGGGCCCCACCTGGGCCCCACCCGCAGGCGCGGGGTCTCCAGTCCCCGCTGTCCCGAGTGGCCTGTGGGACTGGCGGTGGCGCTGGCTCCGGCGGGGGCTCCTCGCAGCCTCGCGCCCCTCCGTGCCGGGAGCCTGCAGCCAGGGACCCTCGGCGAGGCTGCCCATCTCCCCCGC